CTGATACCAAGGGCTCAAGTAGAAAGAAAATGTTTTGAAAATGATGATGGCAACATATGTACAAATGTGCTTGACACAATGAGTATATGTATGGATTATGATAAGAGCTGTATGAGTCCCCAATACAATTTTTTTTAAAAAGAAAAGAAAGTAAGTAGCCACTTCAAACTAAATGCACAAAAATCTTCCTGTTCTGGTAGTTTTCTAAATTAGGGGAGAGGGGACGTAAGACAAAGACTACTACAAAAGCAGTCTATTTAACTAATATAAGTTAATTAAATAAGAAAACTTAATATGTTAATTAAAAGAAGCAGATTCTTAATCAAGTGTCACTGCTTACCATGAATAGTGGCAGGGTTTTTTTCCTGTTAAGCCGAGTCCATGATTCTCAATTATTTTTAAAATACTCAGACACTAATTAATCGAGTCTAAAACTCTTGCATTATGCTGTACTTCAACTTAATATAAAACCATCTTCTTTTAGAAAAAAAAACTAACCCACCTTTTTTTTAACTCAGGAAAAGTAAAAGCAAAAAGAAAATATTAATATAAATAATACTATTCTAAATGACTATTATTTGCATTTATTCACAAAACAATTAGTTTGTGAAAGTTCCCCTCCTCTTTTCAAAGTAAAATAAAAAATAATGACAAATATATGGAAAAACCAGAACCAGTGTAAGCCGGAAACCTGTCAATTAAGGAAAACTCAAGTATTTTGAGAGACAGAGAAAAGTGGTTAAGATCCTGTCAAAGGCAGGAAATTAGCAAGTCCGAGAAAAACAAGGTAGTTCCAGCTCTCGAGATTTTTACTGTATTAGTCTAAATATAGTAACAAGAGGGATGTACTTAACTGTGCACAAATATTTGGAAATGAGACAAGAGGAAAATCTCTTATATGGTGCCAATGAGTTCAACAAAGGTCAAAATTCCAGTGTAGTCTTCTATTTTACACTTCAAGTTTGTTAAATTCATAGGGAGGGCATCAGAATTTCAAAGTTTTAGACTACTACATAAACTCATTTAATACTCTACAAATCAAAGAAAGGAAACCATTAACTGCAAGGGATAAGACATTTTAATGATCTAAAATTCATTTTATTAAAATCTGCCTTTTCTTCAAATAACAAAAATAATTATTAGCTTCTGTAAGACAATTGAAAAGGGGGGAAAAAGACAATTAAAAAGAGGGCTGATCCTATTTTGCTGTCTTGGTATATATTTTTGTCACCTGAGAAATGTGTAATTAAGGGAACTGCAATTTGCTTTATGTCAGCATTTATTTAAAAATATGGAAACCTCCCCCTTAAGCTTCCCAATTAAAAATTTTATCTTTCTGTGTTTTAGAAAAATTGGGTGCTTAATCTGAACCTGTATTGGAAGAAACCACTAAACTAGTAGGCCCTGTATAAAAATGTCACAAACTCTGGAGTCAGAATGACTAAATTCAGATCAGCTCTCTGGCTAGCTAACTAGTTTTGTGACGCTGTGTGACATCTGGCATTGATTTCCCCATCCATAAATTGGCAAAAATTAGAATACTTCCTTAGTATTGTTATAAGAAATAAAGAGGTAATATGAAGGAGTTTCAAAAAGTTTAGAAAATGCCATCATCTTGCAAAAGAATTATCTTTAAAAAATAACTTTATTGGCATATCCTTTACACACTATACAATCTAATCATTCAATCACCAGAGCAATCAATTTCAGAACATTTTCTTCTAGTTCTCATTGTTAGTTGCCATCATTTTTAAATTGTATTTTCCACTTTCTGAAGCACTCTAGGGGTTTTTAACCTTCCTAATGCTGAGACCCTTTAATACATTTCCTCATGTTGTGGTGACCCCCCCAACCATAAAATTATTTTCATTGCTACTTCACAACTGTCATTTTGCTACTGTTATGAATCGGGTGACCCACTGGTTGAGAACTGCTGCTCTAGTGTATGTAAACTACTTCGAATAGTTCTTGACACAAAGTTTCATATAAGAATAGTCTTTTGTTATTACCGATTTCTACATTGTAAAAAAGTTCCCCAAGTAAGTATTTTCATTGCTTACTTTGGCCAAGTCATCAGGATAAACAAATCGATAGATACAAAAGGACATCGTGCTGGGTAAAGGTAAAGGTAAAGCGTGGAACTAGGTAAACCCTCCCTAAGATGGATCAACACTGTGACTGCAACAATGGGCGCAAACCCAGGCAATGTTTTGTTCTGTTACACTCACTGTCGCTGTGAGTTAGAGCCAACCAAACAGCAATTAGCAACAATCGGGAAAGAACATAATTTGATATTGATATTAATTAAGCTGAGTTGGCATGGGCTAGATGGCAGTGAGTTTGAGTTTTGTTTGAAGCTATGATACGATGCAAATACCTTACACCCAAAGAATGAAATCACTGAGCGCTTTGGAGAAAAAAAAAGGTCTATTTATTACTATATTTATTTTTTTATTTAAAATATTACTGCAAATTTAACATGGGAAACCAGTAAAGATAAATTGTTTGAAGTCCGTATTTCAAATGTTTCTACTTCTCTAATAATTATCTAGCCCAGAACTTAGGTTGATAGGACAACCTGTCAACTTCTACTTCTCTTTAAAAAAGGCTTTTCCCCCTACTCCAGTGTTGCAGGCAAAACGATTTCAGCTCTAGATTTAAAACTCGGTGCCACAGATGTCTTATCCTCAACTCTCGTTCATATAAGATTAAATGTATTGAAAGGAACCACCAACTACCAGAGTACGCTCTCTAGCTTACAACCCTACTTTGAGTACAGGACTTCATTATCATTTTAAGTAACTTTGGAATAATGATCACCAATTTTGTAAGCCCGAACTCTATGGGACAAACTATAGAAATTTATCTAGGAGTAGATACAATTGTAGAACTTTATCTAGGCCAGTACTAGCTGAAAGTTTAGAGGTTGGAACTCATCCAGAGGTTCCTGGAGATGTGCTTCTGAAATGTCACAGTTTTGGGAATTCTGTGAAGTTCTACTTGGCACACATAAGGTTACCAGGAGGAGAAATCAATTGCGCAGCAACTAACAATAACGCATCTAGGTTAGATTGAGACTTAGCTCGAGAAATAGTTTGGAAATTGAAGAAAGGTTGAAAGAAGGCCCTGCATCAACACAAATACTGGTTGCTAAGAGTTCAAAATCTGTGATCCCATGGTTTATTATGTAGAGAATTGGAGTTTCCACAGCTTGGAGGGTGGGGAGGGGAGTGTACAAAACTAGGAAGTAAAGAAACAACTGCACCCTGCCCATACTCATTGGGGTTCGTTTTTTAAGATTGGGAACTGGCAAGGTCAGGTTGAAGGGAAGTTCGTTTCTAGGGTAGGTCCTGGGAGGAAGAACTGGTAGTTAAGTCCTAAAAGCCAACCAGCAGGGTCCTACTCTACCCTATGGCTTCTAGGATATAAGATAGCTTTGCTCCAAAGTTCTTGGCTAAAACCAGCTGAAAGGAGCAGCCCAATTTTGGTATAAGCCAAGGTCTATCATGCTTTCTCATAGGAGGGGGCTTCAAAAAACCTGTGGGAAAACGGAATTAAAAGACAAGGGAGTTTTCCCGTGAGCTTTTAAAAACCACCTTCATATGTCTATGTATCACAAAATGAAAGATTTTTCTTTATTTCACTAGTCAATAGAGCAGTAGCTACTAAAAGTTTTGTTCACATCTGAAGTACTAAGTATTACAGCCGAATTTATATATAATTACAGAAAATTATCACACACAGTCTGCACTCAAATGCTAGCCATCCAAATAAGCACAAGACAAAAGGATCTAATGGCCTATAAACCATGGGGAAAGGGGTCACAAACTTTGAACACTATAACGATTCAATCCACACATCATCCTTGCACATTACAGGTGACTTCACTAGAATTTCACAAAACCTCAAGGGAAACTTAAGAAAGAAGTTCTAAGTTTAAAAACGAGAGGGAAAAAAACAAAGAGAAGGGCTGGGGGGGACTAGAAAACTTAATACAGTGAAGACGACGAAACTATGGATCAGAGGCAAGGGTTGGGGTTCAATTAGAGAAAACGTCTTGGAAACGACTGGTGAACCCCAGCAGGAGAGGTCTCAGTAACTACACACTACCATTTCTGGCCGTGAACTTGCTAACTCCGGGACTAGTAATCTCCCCCAAGAAGCTCTGTCCTTTGTCACAGCCAACTGTCCTGTAAGTAACGCCCCGTGCATGCAGATGACAGGGCCGTCTCTAGCCGAACGTCCGCCGTGGCCTCAGCTGTGCACATCCATTCTCAAGGGAGCCCGAGAAAGAGCGCTGACAGGGTCCAGCGCACACAACCACCCCCCCACCCCCGCCTGCTCCCCTGCACCGGAGAGAGCTCCCAAGCTGAGCGCCAGCCAAGAGCTGGGGCCACCTTAGTTGTTACTGGCCTGCGAGGGCTACCTGCCGGGCAAAGCTCCTTCCAGGCCGGGCAAGTCGACGCGGACGGGGGCTTCGGCAAAGCCCTCCAGCGAAGAAAACGGCGGGAGAGCCCCGAGCGAACGCACGAGTGGCCGCACACTAGGCTCGGGAAGGGAGAGGGTCAAGATTGAAGAAAGTTGGGGGACGAGAACCTGGGGGCCGTGGGGCGGGAGAGGTTCGTCCCAGGGGAGGGAGGGGATCGCAAAGAGGGGGTCGTCCTTTGCGGCTGAAAACAAGCCAGTGGGGTTCCCGGGCATCAGGGTTTGCAAAGAGGGAGACTAACGTGAGAGTGTGGGGGCACAGAGTCAGCGGCTGAGGGAAGTGCTGGGGCGAACACGGGCTGCCAGGGGAGTGAGGCTGCGGTAAAGGGGCGAGAGCGTCTAAGTTGGGGTGAAAGTGAGGCATGGGGTGAAGGCGGGGAAGCACTGCAAGGGACAAGGGACAGAGGAAGCAAACCCCCGCCCAAAAGAGCCCGGGCAGAGAGAGCTCTTGGCCCGTCCCTCTACGCGCTGCACTCGACCGGCGGCCGCTCACTCTGTCTGCGGTGGAGACTCACCCAGAGGCTGCCGAGGCCCTACCAAAAGAGGACATGAGACCGCTGAACCAAACAGCCGAAACAGGCGAGGGGGGGAAACCGCGGCGTTACCGTGACCCGGATGCGCATCCCTAGGAACCGGAAGTACGGCGCCAGGGTCACCTCACAATCCACGCCTCTTTTCCCTCAGAAGCGGCTTCGCGCATGTGTTAGGCCTCACGGGGCGGGGAAACTGCTGGCCCCGCCCACCCCGCTGGGGGCTCCGCACCCGCGGACGCCCGGCCCTGGCCACGCCCCTCCTGGCGCCTCGAGTCCAGGTTTGCGCTGAGGATCTTGGAGGCGCGACCGCGCTCGTTTAAAAAACAAATACCTCAGCCTTTCTTTTTCAAGAAACTCAAAACACGTGTCCTCCCTGATTCCCCAAACGGAGAGTGAAGAAAATGCTGGATGCATTTGGTGGATGTAGAAAAACTGGAAGAATGGGTGGTAAATGTTGGAAGATGCTTGGGAGGCTCTAGCCTAGCCTACGGAGATCTTATAATTCCCAATATTTACTTATTCCTAAATTATATTGAGTTTATAGTTAAATTCTATGTCGTGCACACAGTTTTATGCAGTTTATCACAAACAACAGTTTTTATGCTGTGACTTGAAATGACTCACTGCCATTGAGTCGATGCTGATTCATAGCAACCGAGGCTGGACGGTAAAGCGTTCGTTCACTCACTCCCTTTCCACACTCGGAGCAGAAGGCTCATGGAGTGACTGATGGTTTCGAACTGCTGACCTTGAGTTAGCAGCCCAACGGGAACTCATTATGTCATCAGGGCTCCTGAAGTGGACGCATGTTAGGATGGACCTCTGAACCCTGGTGGTGTGGTGGGGTTAGGCACTGGGTTGCTAACTACAGCAGTTCTCCCACCAGCTGCTTTGCGGGAGAAAGACGAGGCTTTCTACTCCAGTACTGACTTACAGACTCAGAAAGTCAGCGGGCACGCCCTCGTACTGTGTCTTAAAGGAGTCACTGTAAGAATCGAAGGCCCTGATTTTGAGTGGTTTGGGGGGAGGGAGGAGTGCAAAGTATAAAAGTGAATCTTTAGACAAGGTTTTGTATAAAGTTCACAAATATCACAAACATAAAATGCAGGAAAATAGGAGGATTTTTATTAACTCTTTGGTACACCACCAAGATACTTTTTCTCTTACAGTGTTTGGTTGTATGTTTTTTGGTCACCTTTTCCTGTTACAGCAATTTATTAAGTAATAATTATCTATAAGAGGAGTCTTGGCGGTGTAATGGGTAGCTGTGTTGGGCTCCTAACTTCAAAGTTAGTAGTTTAAAACCACTGATGTTTCTGTTGAAGAAAGATGAGGCTTTCTATCCCAGTGAAGAGTTACAGCCTCCGAAACCCAGAGAGGCAGTTTAACCCTCTCCTTTACAGCCGCAATGACCCAGAATTGACTCAATGGCTGTGACTTTAGTGTTTTGTTTCTTTTCATCTAGAAAGGTTCTTAATTCTTCTCTCTTACACACCACAATTAATTAGTCGTTAAGTTCTGTGGGATCTTCTTCCAAAGCTATCCAGAACCTGTTTCTCCTGGTACAAGCCAGTCAATCTGTGACTGTTTCTCCTGTTTGCACCCTTGCCCTCCCACGATCTATTAACAGAGGGTCCTGTTAAAATCTTAAATCATGTTCCTCCTCCAATGGCCTTCCATCTGGATGGGGAAACCAAAGTTCCTACATTAGCCTACAAGATCCTCCCGACTTGATCCCTGCGACCTCCATGACCAGAGGGCAGTGCTGGCTCCACAGTAACTTTCCATGGAAGAAGCCTTTGTGAGTTACCTGTCAAATGTGCCTCACGTGCAGTTACCACCCTTCTCCACTCAGTGGAGACTTGCTTGTTGCAGTGATGCTAAAGGGGGTTCAGCAGAGCTTCCAGACTAAGGCAAACTAAGGAGAGATCTGACAATCTACTTCTGAAAATCAGCCCATGAAAACAGTGAATCACAGCAGTGCAATCCCATTGTGCACAAGGTTGTCATGAGTCCATTTGGCTCAATGGCAGCTAAGAACAACAGCAACAACCCCTTTACAACTCTGACCTCATTTCCTACTTTCTCCCATGTTCCTTCACTCTCGACACATAGCCTCCTTGGCCTTTCTCAAATCTGCAGGTAGATGCAGGACCATTGTGCTTGCTGGTCTCTTTGCCTGGATTGCTCTTCCCCCAGATAATGCCACCACTCAACCTCTTTTATAATTTTTTGCTCAAATATTACCTTCTCAATGGTGCCTTCCTTGAATACCATCAGCCTCCCTCTACTCCCTAGCCCAGTTCTCCGCTCAGTTTTTCTCTCGCTCTCTTTTTTTTTTTTTTAGACTCAGTTATTGACAATGCCCCATGCTGTCCTCTGCTCTTAGAATAGCTCTCAGTATCAAAAGAACCCAACCCAAGCCACCCAAGTCCCTGAGTTTGGCGTCTTAGCGTGGCACCCCTCCCTACCAGGGGGCAGAGCAAGAACCCCTGCCTCCTCCCATCAGGCGGCCTTTGGGATGGGGAGATGCCTGAACATCACATAGCCCCACCCTCTCTGCAGCCGCGACTGCAGGGGTCACCTTTACTGTGGTGCAGAGATGGTGTGGCCCCTGTCTGTCCTGAGGCCACCCTAGAACAGTCACCCCAGGGAGGACAGAAACCAGACCCAGATACACGCCTTTGTCCCCCCTCCTTCAGACTGTCCCCACCACTCCCCCAGATCCAGGCTATGGCAAAGGGGCTGGCAAGGAGTGAATGGGGAGCGGGGAGGGCCAGGGTCCCCCCTACTCTGTTCCCACAGCTCGTATTCCCACCCAACACTTACGGCATAATCTGTTCTGTGGCACAAGAAATTAAGCACTCAACTGCTCGCTGAGAGTGTGACAGTCTAAACAAATCTAGTGGTACCTCAGGAGGCCTGGTGGCACTGTTGACTTAACAGTGCACTGCAATTGCAAGGTCAGAAGTTCAAACCCGCTAGGAAAAGATGAAGCTATCTGCTTCCATCAATGACATGGGTTTCAATTTTGTCTTGAAGCTGTAGAAGTCCTTGTGCATTGCCCCTAGGAGAGTTGGTGGCTCAACTTGCAAGCTTCCGATGAGTGAAGGCAAAGAAAGATTAGGCTATAGGTTCCTGTCAAGATTTACAGACTCGGAAATGCTATGTAGACTCTACACTGGGGGGTCTCGAGTGGGAGTCGACTTGATGCCAGTGGTTTGGTTTGTTGCAGAGGTGCAGACCCACCTGGTGGCAATCTGCTCATGAAAGGTCACAGCCTTGGATGACACAGAACAGTTCTACTCGGCACACATAGGCTTACCATGAGTCAGACTTGACTGACAGCCAGCGTGATTGAACGTCTCTCTCTCTCTCTCTCTACACCACAATGCGAGGGTCATGATGGCATAGCTGTGTGTCTGTGTTGTTCACTGACCTATCTTTGCACTTATTGCAGGCACTCAATAAGTGTTTCGTTTTATTTCTTACTTTTCATTTTGATTTAGGTAAAGGTGTACAGAGCAGATCATCAGTTTTAGAGTCAACTGTTTGCATGTTTTGTTTCAACTGATCACTTCAACCCTCTCCATGTATCATCACTTATCCTACTTTTTCCACCGGTGAATCCTCTTGTCCATTTCTCCTTTTTTCCCTAACCTTCAGAGCTTTGACCTTGGGTGAATGCTATCCTTTTGATCTTAAATAGTCCAATGTTGCTTTTCAGACCTAAAGGATGGCTCAGGGCCATACCCTTGGGGCTCCCATCAGTTGCTCTGAGAGATACACTTTCATAGAATCAATTCCAACTTTAAAAGATCCTCTGGGACAGGGTAGAACTTCCCTATGAGTTTCTGAGACTTTAACTTGTTATAGGAGTAGAAAACCTTATCTTTCTCCCATAAAGTGGCAGGTGGTTTCAAACTGATGACCTTACAGTTAGTTAGCAGCCCAACATATAACCCACTAGGCCACCAGGTTCCTTCAGTCTTCATATGACCAGTCAAATCAGTCTCTATGTGGACAATAATCATAGTCTCTTTTAATTTTGAATTCTGGTCCACATTCGTCTCCTACTCTACCCAGGACTTTCTAACAGTGATCCTTTACTAATAATGTTTGTTGAATGAAAGAATACATTTCTCATTTTCTTTGCCTTTGCCAATCTGAAGTCATGTAAACTGAGCCATCAGCTCCACCAGGGGGCACTGATATGTAACCAATGTAGTATCTTCAGAAAAGTTTCTCTTGAAACTTGTACACATAATTTCAAACCAGAGCTACAAGAAAACACACAAATGTCTCCCCACCTCGGAGGATACTGTATCTCATTCGCAATAAAACTGTCCAACGTCTTCATACTCTCTTAAAAAAATAAAACCCACGGTTTTTACAATGTTTTACAAGACCTTCCTGGCAGCGTTCAGTGTGAATTGCAATTCAAAGTAAAGAAAACAAAAATCCTACAACAGGCTCAATAGAGGGCACCGTGATAAAAGGAGAAGCAGCTTGAAATTGTCAAAGATTTCATTTTACTTTGATCCACAATCAACGCTCATGGGCAAATCTGCTACCCAAGACATCTTCAAAGGGTTCAAGGGCAAAGATGTCATTTTGAGGACTAAGGTGTGCCTGACCCAGGTCATTGTGTTTTCAACCACTTCATGCACATGCGGAACCCTGCTGGTGTCATAGTGGTTTGCAAATTGGGCCGCTTTGTACCAAGTCAGCAGCTTGAAATCACCAGCCTGTCCTCAAGAGAAAGATGAGGTTTTCTACGCCTGCAAAGAGTCTCAGAAACCCAAGGGCACTTCTACCCTGTTCTGTGAGGTTGTTACGAATTGCTTTGATGGGAATGAGTTATGTTAGTTTATTTTTAATGCATATGAAAGATGGTGTTGAATAAGGATTGAAAAAGAATTGCTATATTTGAATTGTAGTGTTGGTGAAGAACACGGAAAGTACCATGAACTCCTAGAAGCACAAACAAATGTGTCTTTGAGGAAGCACAACCAGAATGCTCCTTAGAAGTGAGGCTAATGAGACTTCATCT